TTCCAGTGTGCACGTGGGGGGCTCACCTGGGCCCCTGGTCCTGAAAACAGCGGGTTGGAGGAATCCCCCAGTCCGTGTTCAGGAAAACGGCTTGCTGAAAAGAACCGCCTTCCCTCATCACAGATCATGGCTCCCCCATGTTCACCAGCGACGAGGCCACAGCACCCTCCAAAGCCCAGCCCTCGCCTCAAAGCCCAGCCCTCGCCTCATCGCCGCGTCACTGAACGGCTTGTCCGCACTGGTCCGTCAGAAACCAAGGGCTTGTTCCTCAGACTCCGGGGAAGCTTCTGTCCTGCCCTCGAGTCCTCGGCCTGAGCCAACACCCCCGTGATGTGTGCTTCTGGTGGGGTGATCCCGACCACACACAGGACACATGGCCCGTGTGACTGCGACACCAAAGCTGTGAACGCCCTAAACCAAGGCGTCCTCTGGGTTCCAGCCTCGGACAGGAGCTCCTTGTGGGTGGGGACCGCTCGTGAGTGCCGCGTCTGTGCCCAGCTCTGCCTGGTGCGTGAGGGAGGCCCCGAAATGCAAATGCCTGTGAAGTGACCGAGGGAGCGGTGGGCCCCAGCCCAGCTCGCGCGCATTCACCTGTTTTCATTGTGAGGCAGCTTTCAGTGACCGCGTCTTCACTGTTAGTCGCACAGGATCAAACACGCCTCTGCAGATTCAGGCCCCCGGGGCGTCCCAGGCTGCAACCTTCACAGGAACAAACCGCCAGGGCTTGGTCCCGCGAGCCCTGGGCAGGTGCACACTGTCGGCCCTTTCGTTAGTCAGGTGCCTGACCCCTGGGCCACCGGGGCACCTCATCTCACGAGCTTTGGTCCCGTTGCCAGGAAGGACCTGTCCCTGGAGAAGGACGTGATGTGCGGTGAAGCAGAGGGTAGCGAGAGGGAGACCCTCAGGGACATGGACTGACACCGTGGCCGCAACAGCGGCCTCACGCGGGGCAGTGTTTCGGCCTGTTTCCGTGGGGTGACTGTGAGTTGGAACTGGCTTGGTGGCACCCAACAACAACAGGCTCTTGTCTGCCTGTCACGAGCCACCTGAGTTTGCTCACCCCTCATGCCTTCAGCCATCGTCCCCGCTGTTAGGGGCTGGGACGTCATCCCTGCCCACCACCCCCACTTTAGGGGCTGGGACATCACTGCCCACCACCCAGCATCAGGGACTGGGATGTCACCACTGCGCACCACCTGCTGTTAGGGGCTGGGATGCCACCACTGCCCACCAGCCAGCGTCTGGCCCTCAGCTTCTCACATGACCTGCTCTGGAGCTAAGGGCAGCCCCGAGGATGACAGGCACGTCCACAGAGGGCAGAATGGGGCCCTGAGCGGCCATCTGTCCCGGGGGAAAGCTGGCTCTTCCATGGCTCGGTGTCCCTTCTGAACATCAACTTGATTTCGCACAAATTAAAGAAAACGGAAATGCTTAAGCGGGAGGTTAACTATTGGCTCCCGGGAGCAGATGCAATGGGGGTAGTGATGGCCCCTGATGTGCCAGGTAATTGCTGGTGGACGGGAGACAGCGGCCTTGAATTGTAATCGGGGACAGGAGGGGTCTGGTTTAATAGGTTTACAAAGCGCTGGGAAAGAGCTCAGCGGTCGTCCATCACATAGGAAATGAACCGAGTGTCCAAACTAGCTGAGCGCTGAGAGTCAGGGAAGGAAGTATTTCTAAGTGAAAAAACTGTTGTATTTGGTATGTCAGTTATGCCAAGTGTTTTAGACACTCCAGTGTCGTTTTAAATGAAAGGTTCTGTCCCCTTCTGGAGACAATTCATCTCCAAATAAGTTGTTCTCGCGAGCAGCCGTGGAGGCGACCCACACTCATGGTGATGGAGTGTGTGTAAAACGTGCAGAAATGTTAAGGCAACGTCACGTGCCCGTGACATAGCTGGGTGAACCAGGATTAATGGGACAGAGCCCTGTGGACTCCCTGCGCCTGTCTTCTTAGTTGCAAGGTCTCTGTTTGCCTGTCTTGGACTTCTTATGCACATTGTGCACACACACGCGTCATTGTTTGCTTTTGCACTGCAATCATGAAGTGCTGGAACATCACACTTAGTGAAGGGTATTTCAGTAAACTGGCCTGTTTACAAACCTCTGGGTTTGCCTGCCCACAGAGTGAGTATGTGTCAGTCGTAGCCAATGGGTCACTCCCTGATTCACACAACCTGTCCAAAGGGGTGAAAGGACATCATGTGAACTTCTAGGCGGTGCGACTATGAAATCACAAATGAAGTATCACTTTGCTGTTAACAAAGTGGATCGAGATGACAGTGCTGCTACATGTATGTAGCCTGGATTTCCACACGAGTGACACACGCGTGATGCAAACTGCAAACCCTTGCACGTTGTGTGCACGTCATGTGCATGCGAGGTTATTTATGCAGGTGTGTTGTATGTGCCAATATGGTATTAAGACTGGATTAAGGAGCCCTGGTAAGGAGCTCTGGGGTGTAGTGCCCAAGGCACCTTACCAGAAGGCTGGCGGTTCAAACCCACCAGAGACTCCACAGAAGGAAGATGGGGCAATCTCCTTCCATAGAGATTGACTGCCTTGGAAACCCAACGGGCGTCATTATGAAGCAACCCAATGACAGTGGGTTTGCCTTTTTGGTTTAAGGAGCCCTTGTTGGTGCAATGGTCAGGAGCTGGGCTGCTAACTGAAAGGTTGGTGGTTCGAAGCCACTAGGCAGCACTCTGAGAGAAAGACCTGGGCACCTGCTCCTAATTAACTGTTACTATTGGAGCTCTGGTAGCTTACTGCCTTAAGGCACTTGACTGCTCACCAGAAGGCTGGCGGTTCAAACCCACCAGCCACTCCTCGGAAGGAAGGTTGGGCAATCTACTTCCGTAGTGATA